ACTGAAGTTGTCAAGGATTTTGTGTCGCTTGGATCCACATCAATGCTCATGGAAGCAGCAGTCAAGAAAGCAAACGGTGATTATATCCAAACACTTAAGATCTGAATCTGGAGTTCGTTGGGCAGAGAGAAGGGAGGCAAGAGGTAGGTTACACCCACTCGGAGATAGGGAAGGGCAGGAACGCTAGGGGAAGGCCTGAAGCTGCCAGCTCACCTTGGCATCACTGGGAGGAAAATTGTCGGGAAGAGATCCAGGCTCTTTAGGACAGGAAGTCCCAGGACTTAGCAGGGCCAGAACCTGCTCACTCAGCTCATTCATTCCAGGGCAGCAGGAACTGTGGAGGTAGCGTGGGATGAAGATGGGAACGGAGAAATAACCTTCCCCAACTCCACGGAAAAAAACTCCCAAATTCACCATCAAGGAGTCAATTGAGGCTCAGCGCAAGCCCTGTAGTGTCATGGGTTATGTGTTGGGCTGCTAACCACAAGGTCAGGAGTTCTAAACCACCAGCCACTCTGGGGAGAAAGGTGAGACTTTCTACTCTGGGACATATGACCAGGGACAGTTCTATTCTGACCCAGAGTGTCACTGTGAAACCAGTCCAAATCACGATATCAGGGGCTAGAGCATTCAAGTACCTCCAGGCGAGAAGTGTAAACAAGCTAGATGTTAACGAAAATTACGTGATGTCTCCTTGACTTGACCTTTGCTCTCTTCCTTTTGAGGAGGAAATGGCCAACAAAGGAAAACCATCATGGAAGGTCAGCCCGTGACAAGCGGCACCAGCTACATGGTCTCACTTGTGGATGGGACAACAGTGAGGACGGCGAGTTGTGGAGTGCACCCATGCCTCAAGGAGGCCGCTCTTGCTTGGCCACAGCCAGCCTGGGACTGGCAAGTCTCCTGACCTTTTCAAAAGAGGTAAAAAGCCTACATTTGTCCACAAAAACTTCCCGATTTGCAATATTCACTCAGAAATTTCAAAACAAAACAAAGCATACAGGACTAAGACGATATCTAGGTACTGACTGTAGCCACGCAGGTTATCAACTTGTGACCTCTGAAGATTTTAGGGAGTTTTCTGACCAAATTCCGAGTCCATTATGATGACCCTAAGTGCCGCTACCACAACCTACTACGTTGCATAGAATTGACGGATATTAGCGCTGGGGTGTCGTCCAGCCTTCCATCCAACATAAAAATCTGGTCTTTTCCATCAAAGAGGAAGCAGCGTGTGTCAAAGATTGGTGGACATCAAAGGAGGCGAGCGCGGAAAGATGGGAGCCTTCACAATCGGCTCTGAGACTGACCCTGTTTGCTTTAACTGGGTGGAGCCCCAGGGAAGCAGTGGGCACTTTTATCAGCAATGGGAACTGGCTGGCTCACTTCACAGGACTTAGGAAGATGTTTTTTGCTAAGACTGCTGACTTCACACTAAGATTCTCTGTTCCTCAAGATCGAAAGGGCAGCATCTAACCCAGGATAAAATTCAGAAGGCCAGAGGAGTTAGGAAAGAAAGGAGGCATAGAAACGGGAACCACAGGGTAGAAATGGGATGAGTGATGTTATGTCGTGGGGATTGCCATCAACGGTTAGAAACAAAATGTGTATCCATTCTTAAAGGGATGCCGATTTGCTCTGTAAACCTTCACCCAATTCATAATTAAAAACTTTAAGGGAGAGAGAGAGAATTTGCTGTAGCACCAACGTATCACTGGGCCTTGCGACATTTTTCTGGCTCAAGTTACAGGAGAGGGTGTTCAGAGTTCTCTTCTTGGGGAGCTGTTTGATTGGGTGGATCATTGATTGGGGCAGACGCACTAGGAAACCAGTTGGGTTTTTTTTGCACCTCCTCTTTGTACCCACCTGGGGGCTGAGTGTATGGGTGTGAATTGCTGGGTGGAAAGCTGGTACTATGGGTGCCACCCTAGCAGTGAGGACACAGCAAGAAGCCTGGCAAAGAGATGCTGATAGGAATCTCAGGGCACGGGGTGGGGAACCATAATCACCGCAAGAAGGGGTTGGCAGGAAGCTGTGGAACTGGTCCCCTCCACCTCCTACTGGTTCGATCTTCTTCTCTTTCCCTGTGTTCTTGTTCTAGAAATTGCGGCCTCTCTGCGTATACTGAAGTTACCATCCATACTGGCTCTTCCCCTCCTTCAGGTTAAACACCAGCAGTCCTTGTCCCCCCAAAGACCTTCCTGCTATTTGCCTCCTGCTCAACTCACTGCAATATGGCTTTGGCCCCACCCAGCCTCCACCCTCACATCCTTGCTCTTTGCTGAAACTGCCCTCTCTAGATCGTCTCTCACCCAACTGCCAAACCCACTGCTGGCCCCACTTGGCTACAGCTCGCAGGGCCATTCAGTATCTTCTAGCTTTTGTGGGCTCCACTCACTCTCTGTCATGGAGTCCACACCATAGGGGCCCTATGGGGCAGGGTAGAACTGCCCCTTGTGTTTCTGAGACTAACTCTTTGCGGGAGTGGAAAGCCTCATCTTTCTCCTGCAGAGCAGCTGGTGGTTTTAAATCGCTGACCTAGTGGTTAGCAGCCCAATGTGTGACCACAGTGCTACCAGGGTGCCTAAGGTGCCACCACGGCTCCTTGGAATGGCAGGATATAATTCTCTAGGTCTTCTCCTATCTTGCTGACTGCTCTGTTTGCTTTGTTTTGTCTTTCCAGCTGGCTCTCCTACCTTCACTATCTCTAGGATTACTCCTTCACCAAGGCTAAGAAGTGCAGCACACTCGGATTAGGCAGAGTCCCAGGCAGGGGTGCAAGACTTAGCAAACAAAGCTTGGACAGGATTGCTGCCTCCTTCAGCCTGCTCAGCCCGGCACCTTGTGCATAAACACCCTGCACATCCATAAACTAATAAACACATAAACACATCCACAGTCTAATACCCTCATTTCTCTTTCAGTCTATCCTTTTTACTTCAGCAGCCCTGTTGACGTTCATCTTTCTAACGATAACTTAAATGTTTGGGGACTTCTGGACTTCTCTCCGTGGGCAGCCCGTAGACACCCCAAACTTGGCGTGGCCCAAACAGAATGGATTACCAACATTTTCACACTCTCAAGAATGCCTGCCTTTCTGTATTTCCTCTTTTGGTTAATAGCATCACCACCCATCCTCTTATTCAACGGAGACGCTCCACTTTGTGCCTCTTCTCTTTCTAAAGTGGAAGAAGGCTCTCATCTGCTCCCAAGCACACTGCTGAAATGGGCTTCTGCCCAGTCTCCCCATCTCCAGAATCTCTCCCTTGCAAGCCATCTTCCCACCACCACCAGGCTTTGTCTTTACACAGATCTGAGCCTATCACTCTTCTGATTCAAAACATCTTTTGGCTTCTAATTACCCGAAGGGCAAAGTCCAGATGCCCAAGCATGGCATATAAAACCTTTCATCTCCTGGCCTAAACCTACCTTTCCAGTCCTGTGCCTCGCCACTGCTCCCAACATGCTCCCTACCCTTAACCACATCAGACTGCGGTGCAGCTCCTTCACTACCACGGTGCTGTGTCCTTTAATGTTTCTGTGCCTTTGAAGGTGCCTCGACTACACTTGCATTTCAAACTTCACCTTGAAAAATGCCATCTACTCTTCCAGACAATGCTAACTTATCACCCCTTAGGGTTTCTCTTTGTGTCCCCAGGCACCTCTACCCTCCCCATAGCTTCGATGACACTGGTGGGATGCCACCATTGTCTCAACGTTGTTTTCGAAGCTCTTCCTCACTGCACTGTGAGCTTCTTCGTGGCTGGATTAGTTCTGTTAGTCTCGATGTCATCTTGTTGATTTCTTCATCATGAGCAGCCTGCTCAGTGCCTAGAACAAGGGTCCTCAAACTTGTTAAACAGGGGACCAGTTCACTGTCCCTCAGACCCTTTGGAGGGCCGGATTATAGTTGAAAAAAAACTATGAACAGATTTCTATGCACACTGTACATATCTTATTTTGAAGTAAAAAAACAAAAGGGGGAAAGACACCCGGCGGGCCGGATAAATGTCCGCGGCGGGCCACAGTTTGAGGAGCCCTGGTCTAGAACATGGTAGGGATTAGATAAGATACTATGAATTCAATTCTATATATTGAGTTGGAATCCTTGGGTAGAACAAGTGTTTGAGAACCAGCTGACATGTTGCCCATTTGAACCCACGTAGACACTTGAGAAGGGAGGCATAGCGACCTGCTTTCCAAGGGAGCCCAGTTCTATTCTGCAGACACGAGGTCACCATGAGTCGAAATCAGCTGGACAGCAGGGACATGCATTGATTTGGGCAGCTCGCTTGAATATCAGTTTGTGAAAGGACCAATGATTTCTTTCAGCATAACTGTTCATGCTAGCCCCCTCCTTTTTTTTTTCCAGAGGAGAAAACTCTTAGACTAGAGTGATTGATGGGCTCTGTTGGAGATGGTTGCTATTGTCGTCTCTTCAAACTTCAGCTAGATTTCTCTAGGGACACAGAGACTGACTTCACACAGGATTGATTGGCATCTGAGTGTGGAATTGTCCCGATATCAGAGTTCCTTGGAACGAAGGATGGTTTTCAGTTCAGGACCTAAATGTCTGCTTCTGAGGGAGACTCCTACCGTCAGCAGCAGCAGCCCGTCAGGCTTAACACAGGCAGCATGGTGTCTAGCACCTCTGGCTTCCATCCCAACACCCCACCCACGGTTGAGATTTCAGGGTACACGCATACACGCAAAACAACGTAGAAGCTCTTCACAATCTCAAAACCTTAGAAAATGGGGTTATATTGAAAGCCTGGGGAGGCGGGGAGCATCCTTTGTAGGTTATGTGGAGGGTCTGGCAAAATAAAGTTTCATTTATGAGAGCCCTGGTGACATAGTGGTTACGAAATGGGCTGCAATCCTCATGGTCGGCAGTTGGAAACCAGCAGCCGCTCTACAGGGGAAAGACTGGGCTTTCTACTCCCGGGAAACAGTTATAGTCTTAGAAACCCACAGGGGGTCTCTGAGTCAGCAACGACACGATGGCAGTGAGTTTGGGTGTGATTCCCCTTAGTTAAGCCCACAGTACATGCTAGGGCATGATGAAGCCCAGGATGGATATTTCCTTGAAGTGCTATTGTCCTTTGGCGCTCTGGAGTCAGCTCCAATGGAGTGAAACCTTGCTGGATCCTGTACCAGAGACAACAATGCTCACGTCCACTCTCAAGGCCATTGTGTATTTTGAGCCCCAGGGGGGCTCATCTTTCAACACTATGATGTTGTGATTGTGGTTAGCTGTGATGTGTCTACCGAGGAGAACTTAACCATTTGTACAGCCCAGGGTCTTCAGATAATATTCTATTGGGATTTGTAGGGTTTTCATTGGCTACTTTTCAGAAGTAGGTCGCCAAGTCTTCCTAGTTGTCTTAGTCTGGAAGCACCACCCAAACTTGTCCACCACGGGCCACCCTGTTGGCGTTACACACACTCGTGCATGAAATTCCAGCATCGGAGCAGATTCAAGCCCCCACACGACCGCAAACGGAGCAGATGCATAGTTGCGGCGCTGTACCTAGCTTGGGAGAGGGTGACCGCAAAGACTGGGTCACCTTTCTCCTCCAACACAAGACTGTGGTTCTGATGAGAATCCAAACAGGTTGCCATGGAAAAGGCAGTGATTGGTTAACAACGGATGCTTTGGGGCCTGTTTGGTTAGGTGTCCATCCACCCTAGAACCCATGGCCCTGGGGTCTATGCCGACTCGGATCGGCCCATCCCTAAACCCTCTGTTTCATGACGAGACCCCCTAGCGCTGTCCCCAACATGAAAACATTTACGACCTGGACCCAACGTGGTACCCTTCAGCGCCTCCAGGAGCGAGGTGACAATTGTCCGAGGACGCCGGCGCCGCCAAGGGGGGCAGTGGGCAGTCTGCGGTGACCACCAAAAGGGCCAGCGCCCAAGCCGGGCCCCGAGGCCCGGCAGCTTTGGGTCGGGCTCCAGGGGCGTGCGCGTGCGCGTGCGCGTCACCGACTCCGTCCCCGTGGCCCCGCCCCGGGGCGGGGCTCGCCGGGCCGACGCTGACTCAGCAACGCGAGGGGGCAAGTTTTGTCCCTCCGCGGACCCCGTTCCCGTCGCCATCCGCGTCCCCGCCGCCACGAGCCGGCTTCCTCCTTCCGGCGCTCCGGGAGAGACAGGCTGGTCGGGCCGCGCAGGCAGCGATCCGCAGTGCGACCCCGGCGCTTGCCCGACGACCCCGAACTACCGTTATTTTGCGAGACGGAAGGGCGCCATGAACCCCGCGGGTGAGGCGCCGCGTTCCCGGGCCGGAGCCCCGCCTGGGTCCCCTCGGGGACCCCGCTTGGCCCGAGGCCCGGCCGTGAGGAAGGGCGGGGGCCGGGGCCGGCGACAACGGCGGGGAAGCCGCTGGCCTGGAGCGGCCTGGCGGGAGACAGCATCCTGCGGGAGGCCGCTTCCAAAGGTCACCCCAGGATGCTCCCCCAAAGTTCCCCGGGGGTGTGGGGGCGCCGGGGGGTCTGCACTCTGTTGATAATCCCTTTGGGCTTCCCAGCAGGACTGAATTCGGAGAAGGTCACTGCTTTGATTCACAAACTGAATTCCGACCCTCAGTTCGTACTTGCCCAGAATGTCGGGACCACCCACGACCTGCTGGACATCTGTCTGAAGAGGGCCACGGTCCAGGGGGCTCAGCATGTGTTCCAGCACGTCGTGCCGCAGGAAGGCAAGCCAGTCACCAACCAGAAGAGCTCAGGTGAGAGCGTCCACCGAGAACAGGGTTGGCATGGCCTATAGGCTGGTCTGAGGACATTGCCCTTGTCACTTGTTCATTCCCTTTGAGCACCAAAACCACCAGCCCACAGCGATCTGCTGGAGTGTCATTTCACACCCTGCCTCGAAGTTCCAGGATTGCGGACACAGCCTGGTAACAAAACAGAACACACAGAAACGGTTATGCCCTGGAGAACTCCCGGCGAGATTGTCCTGAAGTTCATGTCCACATGCATGAGCTAGAGCAGACCCAGTGTAATTGCACCAAACTGCCATCCAAATGTTATTTTAAAATGTGCTTTTTGGCTCCAGCTGGGCTCGATCTCCCCTTCCCCACCAGCCCAACCAGGTGTCCTATTGAAAAAAAAAATTCAGTTCTCACTCCCTTCGGGTTCAGAGCTCCTATTTTGCCATCTACTTTTCAGCACCACTGTCAGGAAAGCAGCTATAGTGAAAGACTGGTCACTCAGGAATCTAGAGACAGAAGATCGGTCTCATAATCCGATTGGACCAAAAGGATGTTTGATGGTCATTCTGCTTTTAAACTTCTAGTCTAGTGTATCAAGGTTGACCGAAAATAAACCAAGGGTGCTTGCTTTGGGCCATTCAGAACTCATCATGGGCCTACTTGACACGAATCTGTTTCATCAGATGGAAATGCTACCTCAGTGAAGTTGGGTTTTAAACTTTAAGGGAAAAATCATACCCTTGGAATAATCGATGTTTTGCTATAGTAAGATGCCTTTTGGGTGGTGATGGCATCGCTCAGCCATGTTGCCGTGGTTCCACATAGCTTAGGGATCAGTGACCTCTTGGGGAATGGCCTGGAAATGTTATTGTGCAGCAGCTCTGTATAAAAGTGCCACCTTTATATGCAAAAGAGATAGCACATAAACTGTGCTGTCATTTTCATGCAGTCTTTAGATTGACAGTTGATTTGGATTCCCGCTTCTAGAAATAAGTAGTGGACAGGAGAGAGACAACACATGGATACACAAAAGTAACAGTGAACTCTACTTTCAAAAGACAAAGTAAGTTTTTGCTAACAAAATTGTTACAAATTTTGTTAGTAACAAAACTTGTTACAAATATTGTTAAACTAAAAAACAAAAACAAAAACAACAAATATTGTTAAACTAGAATCTTTGGGAAATGTCAGCCAGCACAGATACAGTACCAGAGATTTATGCTTAATACATACACTTGGGCTTTATTTTGTGGACGGGCACACGTGCTTACTAGGTTGTGGATATTTTACAGTGTTAGATTAGATACGCCACTTCCCTTTTTCCTTTACATTGTGAACATATTTTCTTTTTTTTTTTTTTGTGAACATATTTTCATGGCAGTTAAAAAGTTATACCCAAATAAAAGCTGGATTTTTTCCTCTTGATTTTTTCCTTCAGAAAATGGAGTTACCCTATATTGGAGGCCTGAGAAAGACTCAAAATGGTCATTCTTGGTTAATTTATTTGGAACCAAAGTATAGTTTACTGAAGACATTACTCTGAAATGAACTCATTCTGTGCTTCTTTGGATACTTTGAGAGATTGTTGGCTAGACTCAGGCTTTTGATAAGTGGAATGTTTATGGCGGATAGCATAGTAAGTAGGCCATTTAAAAATCACTTCAGTAACGACGTTGTAGAGATTGTGATTGCCACTTGTGGGAGAAATCAAAGATGTTCTTGTACAAGAGGGCTTCCAAAAGTTGGTGGGAAAAATGGAGTGAAAAGATAATGAAGTTTTCCCACGAATTTTTTTTAATGCCCTCATACAAGTCTATTTGAAGATTGACCTACACATTTTTAAGGACAGTCATCACGCATAGATTCAAACCTTTCGCCTTTCAAGTGTACTAAATGGAAAAATAGATACACCTGTGTGATGATTGAAAACGTGGATTTAAGGATGGCAAAGCGCATGTGAAGGATTAAGTAATTCAAGTACTTAATGAAATGTGAAAGCAGAAAAATCTGCAAGTCAATGGATTGCTAACTGATTTTTAAACGTGCTTTTAAATCACCAAATTTATATTAGAAGTGTAGACCATTTGTTACTTCATCTATATCTTTACATATTTACATAATCAATTTAACCATAATCCCTTTTTTGACTCAATACTTGGGAGAGAGAGGATTGATTTATGTTAGTGTTGCTATATAGTCAAGCATGTATGATATTTTAGATTAAAGGGTGAAGACTTTTTAAAACTTATGATAAGTATTGCCAAATTAGGTTTCTATCCCATACCAGTGTATAATGATGTTTATTTCCCCAAATCCAGTATTGAGTTTTATCGGTTGAAAAAAAAGTTTCTCCATTTCACACACGTGTTATAATGACCTTTAAAAAAATTGGTTGTTTTTTTTTTTCCATTGTCCCTTTTGGCCATTGAATGATATCAATTAATGATCCCTGCTCATGCTTCTTTAATGATGTTTCTTTTTAATGTGATTTGTTCAGGTGATTTGTCATATGATTCTTTGTGATAGCCAAGGAGATTTGTTTTTAATATGTTAAGGATATTAAGCGAGCCTTTGCACATAAAATGGAGTTTGTAATCACTACTTTTCTTGAATTTTTTTTTTTTAATCCTGCTCTTTCTGAATTAGTCTTGAATTATCCAAGACCTGGTCGTGAGTTCAATATTGGAAAGTACAGTTGGAGAAATGTCGTCCATGTAAACCCTCATCTTAATTTCTTGGTTTGCTTTCTTGTTTCAGGGCGATGCTGGATCTTTTCTTGTCTGAATGTTATGAGACTTCCATTCATGAAAAAATTAAATATTGAAGAATTTGAGTTTAGTCAATCTTATCTATTTTTCTGGGACAAGGTATGGGACTGATCTTGCAAGATTCTTTTTATTTCAATGCCAGCCTTGGCAGAGACTGCTTCTTCATTCTTTGCTCCTCCAGTTCTAATTTGCTCTTCCATTAAAGATGGGACACCACTTATTCTGATTGCCAGTATATCAAAAGTTGGCTCCTTTCAAAGACAGGACTGCATTTGATTGGTACTTGGCTACTTTTTGCTATGGAGTAATAAGTCTACTGGCTCACCCTTTTGCTCTCTTCTACTACTTCTGTTTTGTTTTTTTCAATCATTTCCCTTTCTAGTGCACTTATTGGTCTTTCTGGGACCTAATGCCCTTTCTCCCAGTAGTGTTTGTCTGAAAAAGTATAAATGGTATCATTCTATTTTTTGATCTGTAAAGTATACCAAAAACCCACTGCCATCAAGTTGACTGTGATTCATCATGACCTGATGTTGGGTTTCTGGGACTAAACCTCTATAGGAACAGACAACCTTGTCTTTCTCCTGTGGGAATGGGTAATAGGTTCGAACCACTGACCTTGTGGTTAGCAGCCCAGTGCCTAACACCTAGCACACCAGGGCTCCTTAAAAGTCTATTTAATGTTTCGTGATTGAAGACTCTTAAGAATTATATTTTGTTTTAAAACAAAGTAGTGTATTGTTCTGAATAAACTATTGGAATAGATACACAAACATAAGACTTCATGAAGCCAAACATTGATGTTTAAATATCATCTTTGGTTTTTTAAAAAAATGCCTGTTGCCTTGGGTTCACACAGAGTCTTGTCCTATTAGTAATACCGGTTGAATTGTTGACTCTCTCTTACTTTGATTTAACTTCCTTTATCCTAGGTTGAACGCTGTTATTTCTTCTTGCATGCGTTTGTGGACACAGCCCAGAAAAAGGAACCTGAGGATGGAAGGCTGGTGCAGTATTTGCTTATGAATCCTGCGAATGATGGTGGACAATGGGATATGCTTGTCAATATTGTTGGTAAGCACCTCTCTCTAACGGAACTGAAACTCGGCATCCTCAAGCAAGGCTATGTAGTTAAAGTATAATCCATTTCCTTTATGGTTCTGTACTGAGCAAAACTGGTCTTCCCGACTCTAAAGTACCTTTCCTAAGTCAAGAGTATTTATTGTGAGCTTGTGTTGGAGAAGGAAGAGGTAAGTAGAACTACCTTCCCATGAAAAAATTCCCTGATTGTTCATTATTGCCATCAAGAGATATATTGAAATGGAAACTCTCCAAATTTTTCCTCTGGAAAACACTCATCATTGCTGAGTACTTCATAATATAGATAAATATGATAGATAAGAATAGATATAGATAAACAGAATAAAATTAATTCTAAGATAGATCAAAGTACAGATTAAGCAGCCTGTTTTAATAGTACAAAGCATAAATTATTAAATGTTCCGAATTAGACCAATAAAATATGACCCCATTTTTTTTTAAATCAATTTATTGGGGCTCATACAATTCATCAATGACCCCATTTTTAAAATGTTAACAGCAATGGCTATTTTTTCCAGGGTTTCTAATGCTGACATTTCTTTAACCTTTTAGAAAAATATGGTGTTGTTCCCAAGAAATGTTTTCCTGAATCTTACACAACAGAGGCAACCAGAAGGATGAATGATATTCTGAATCATAAGGTACAGCATATGGAATAAAGTAGGCTTGAATGTAGGGTATTCACCTTCTTAAAAATTCTTCCCTGGTTTTGCAAAGGGCTTCCGGGCCTTCTCAGTGTGTGCAGTTTGTATACAAGACAGCAGCTGGGGTGGTTGTTTACAACAAGGAATGTAGCTGATACATTAACTTTACAAATAATTGGGATTAAGAATTTTATTTTCCTTGAAATAAAAATCTTCTACTTCTATTTCTGGTGATTTTATTGCTTTCGTGGGAGTATTTAGGCTAGAACGTTGCCGGGTTTTACACCATGCTCAGTTAATATAAGCACACTGAGCGCTATGTCTTTCACTTAGTTCTTGTAGGGGTGTGCTGGGAACATTTTATGTGGTAATAGAAGCGCAAACACACTGCCATGGATTGATCCTGACTCAGAGCTCCCCTCTAGGACAGAGTAGAGCTTCCCTGTAGGATTTCCCAGGCTGTGCCTCTACAGAAGCACACTGCCACATCGCTCTCCTGCGGAGCAGCTGCCGACCTTTTGGCTGTCAGCTGGATGCTTAGCCATAGGGTTCTGATGTACTAATAAAACCAAAAAGAATTGTTTATGAGATTTCCCTCAAGAATATGCTGAGTATACTAGACAGAACAGACTTCCTCAGACCACATTAATGGTTATGCATTTTAGTGCTTCGATTATCTTACTGATTCACCCTTCTCTGCACAGCTCACTCACCCACAGAAGCGTATACACCCTATAGCATTGCCACTCTGCCCAGCACAGCCCTTTTTTTGAGCTGAGATTTGACAGACCTGTTGTCATAATCTGAGATTCTAAAGTTATATTTGTCATTTCTAGGGGATAGATTACATGTTAAGATAAACTACAGATCCCCCACCCCCTCAGCTTTAGAATTAGACTCTTTCCACTCAAGAAGCTGGGTGTTCTTAGTTAAAGACTAGGAGGTCTTGAACAGTATAGCATTGTGAGTAGGGACAAGGTGTTTAATACTCAAGGTAAGCTGAGATGCATCTGTACTCTGAGCATGGGGTGTTTGTTCTCTCAAAAAGCAACAGAAAAGCAAACGCCTGCTGGGTGTTGGTCTAGCTGGAATCCAAATACAGGTTGTAGAGTGACTTGATGGTCGTCGTAGCTTGACATTGGGTCTTGTTTTTTTCTAAAGCTACTTGAAATCATGGGCTATTAAGTGTCACCGACCTGACCTGTGACTCCTTCGACGCCACAAATGTCTAAGTGGCATTGGGCTTGGGGCGGGGGTTTCAGTGGCAGATATTGGCGGGGCAGAGAGTCGATTGCCAGCCTTTTCTTTTGAACACGGCTGATTGGACTTGCACTTCCAACTGCTGGGTTACCAGCCAAGGCTGTTCACCGTTTACACCACTAGGTACTAGACAGGAGACAGTCAGCTGCTTCCCCATCGCCAGGCATGGCCTGTCACAGAGGGGATGATCAGTGGTACGACAATACCTAGCTGTGTGTCTAGTACTTGCTGGGGACAATCCACCCAGGTGTTTTTTATCTGAGAGTTAAGTGATGGTTGAGGGAAAACACATTTGCTTTTAAGAACTTTGTATAGGGTCTTGGCTGAGTTATCCTTCTAAAGAGAACTAGCAGGGCCTGTTGAGGCCTGTACAGTTGAAATGCTAAATGGATTTCTGTTGTAGATGAGAGAATTCTGTATACGACTTCGGAACCTGGTACATAGTGGAGCGACCAAAGGAGAAATCTCAGCCACACAGGACACCATGATGGAGGAGGTAAGGCCTGGTGTTTGGATTTCTGTGACTCTTCGAGAGAACTTTCGGAATATTCGCATATATTAAACTGATTGGGAGGCATCGTCCTTACACTTAAGTGTTAGGCTGTATTGTTTATTTTACAGCCAGAAAAGCTGATGTATAAACTCATTTGCATTTTCCTATGGGCCTTATGGATTCCTGGAAGGTGTCGCTGGGTTGGTTTCAGCTCATAGGGAGCCCCTCTGAGGCACACCAGAATAACACGTTGCTTGGTCCTGGAGCATCATCAGAACTGTTACTCTGTGAGTCACTTGTTGCAGCCACTGTGTCAGTCTGTCTCGTCGAAGGTCTTTCTCTCTCTTTGCTGGCCCTCTGCTAAGCATGACGCCCTTCTTCAGGAACTAGCCCCTTTTGACAACGTGTCCAAGTCAGTGAAATGAAGTCTCGACATCTGAGTATCTCACCATCCTCCCTTCCAAGACCGAGCTGTCAGTCTTAAGTCGTTATTATTCAGTACACATATTCACTTGGGTAGTTTCAGATCCACACTTTGGCGCTCATGAATTTGTTTGAACTTTTTTTAAGCTTCAACTGAAACTTGCACGTAAGTAATGGATGGTCTGGTCTGGCGTTGACTCGGTGTTTGTTCTGCTGATACTGCATTTTTCCATGGTGTTGATTGAATTGATTCTGACTCATAGTGACCCTGTAGGACAGAACAGAACAACCCCTGTAGGTTTCTGAGACTGAGTCTTTATGGGAGTAGAAAGTCTCATCTTTCTCCCGAGGAGCGGCTGGTGGTTTTGAACTGCTGACCTCTCCAGATGTAGTTCATTTGATTCCATCTGGCGAGGTCCACAGGTATAGTTGCATGCATGATGTGGAAAACAGGTACAGGGAGGCCCCAGCTAACCAATGAGATTTTTTCCTAATTGCGGCTTAAGTCTTTTCAGTGAAATTTGTAGGTGAGACGGAATATCTGTGTATAGTTCTTAGGTAGACTGGAAACCTTTTAATGATTTAAAAGCGGTTTGTACAGCAAATGAGGGTGATTGTGATAAAGAATTCATTGCAGGTAGAGGTTGGGGTAGGTTCAGATTTACATAACACTAGAAGTTGTCCATAAATCACATATTTGTAACTCTGTTACTGCAAAATTTCATCACTCGATCTCCTTTCCAATTACTCTATTCCAGTCACTAGTAATTATCAACACATCTTGGTTGCTTGCTTGGTCTATTTCAGAGTGCAGAGAAGTAGGTAAAAATCTTTAGTTTCTGAGGGAGGGGAGAGTGGGGAGGGAGGGGAAAAAATGAGGAGCTAAT